TTCCAGGCAAAAGGACGCGCAAAGAAAGCTTTACTCTGTACTTCTCATTAAGGAAACCACGCTTTCTTTTCTCCCTTCTCTCTTTCCTACCTTCTCGCTGCGTTTTGGTTCTCGAAGGGCGGACACCCGTGTCCATCCCCCCTTTCACGGTGCTCGGCGTCCTCCTCTTTTTATCGAGTTCGATCATTAACGAGAGCCTCGAAAAGAATCACGACCGTCGGGAATCGACAATGTTTATTGTCCTCTTGAATTCCTTCGCGGTGCTGAGAGTGCATACAGGCTGCCTCAAAGTATACGTTGCCGCTAGGAAAGTCGTAACATTTTTACGCGAATCGACCTATTCGCGTGAAATGAAAATAGTCTGTGAGCGATTCGCCTTCTTATTATGGACGATGCAAAAGAGGCGGGCATTTGTCTCGTGCCACGGTCACGCTCGTCACTTGCAATATCGCGCGCGATCGATACGAGATCCGTGAATAATCGCACGATCCATTATCGGCCGTCGGGTTCTTTAACGTCTCCGTCACTAACGGAATGATTTATTAAACGCTGCTAGGGCAAGAGTGCAGTCTCACGTTTATTTCGCATCGCGCGTGTTCCAGCGTACACCGGCAGCAAAGCTTTTTTTGAGCCAAGGCGGAAGATAAGGGCTCACGGAGAATCTGCTTATGACGACGGACGCAACTATCCCCCCAAAGACACCGGGGCGAGATCGGTCGATCCTTCGTTAGACATTCCGTGCAATCATATTCGAGCAAATAATTCGTTAGGCCCTCGTTCCGCGGCCTGTTCGTTAGTATAATTAAAATAAATTCAAATGACTTTCTTGTCCCCCGTCTTTGGTCTCTCACCCGTGTTACCTCGTTCCGCCTATCCCCCCCCCTGTGCTCCTCCTCTTACCGCCTCTTTCCGCCTCTTGTCCTTCTTAAATCCGTTGATTAGTGCAAAAATCCGCTTACAAATTAAGCGAGGCCCGACGCCGTAGGCACCGAACTCCCTCGAGAATGCCGGTGAAAGCCGGGAGGAACCTCCCGGCCCCCTCGAGACAAACGGAGGAGGAAAGAGACGACGAAGGGTGAACGGGAAAGAAGACTGGAAGAAGGGTGAGTACTTTAATATCTTAAGTAAACCTGGCTCGGGGATAAAGAAGAAGAAAAAAAATAAGTCTTGCCGGGAGAAGAGTCGCGAAAGGAAGTGGAGAGGGTGAGAGGGGGACGGGGACCACGCGAAAACATGCGCGTCGAATTAAAATACGAATCGGGAATGGGAGGATGTCTTGGCGGGCGAGATTCTCGGCTAGAAAGTATTTCCTCCTCTCGGCTTTATTTTTTTGCGACGCAATAAAGAAAGTAAGATATACGATGTTCGAGACTAACTGTAAAGGATGCGCTTCTATGTAGTTGCCTCGATAATTTCATCCGATCGCGTGGTGACGCTGGCTTCCCCCTCTCCCTTAATCATCGTTCCGCTATGACAAAAAATAATTCAAGGACGCGGCGAGACGCGTCGAAATTCGACAGGTCCGTCCCCTTAAGAGGGCATCGTTAGGGTTGTTCCGAGTTCGTGTGACTCATCCGCGCGCGTAGGTCTCTCGATATATCGGCGTGGTGGCTCTCGCACACGCGGCCGATTTCACCATAAAACGTGCACGCTCCTCGAGCTCTCTCTCTCTCTCTCTCTCTCTCGGTGTGTTTGAATGTGGGCGGGGTGGGTTGCCATTTGCAATGCAAACGATAACACAGCGTATCGCACGAAAACGCGCGCGCGTGCACATACACACACACACACACAGAGGTAACGGGCAAACAAACCGGCGCCGTGGGGGGGGGCACCGAAGAGGAAAGAGCACGGAAGGATCGGCAAAGGAGAATCGTTCGTAGAGATTCCGTGTGCAGATGTTTGTTTCTTTCGCGGCATCTTTCCACAGCATGATTTTACTCGCTCGATCTCGGTAAAATTATTCCCATATCTCAACGCTAACTCCCTGTTGAATGCTTTCAACAT